CCACGCGTAACTCTGCATGCAAAAGCAACGCTCGTTTAAAAGTATCCATTGATCCAAAATTTTCAAAAAAATTAATCTAAAAAAAAGAAACTCAGTAATCAGCCAATCGAAAACGATGCATCACCCTGAAGTTCCCGGCGAGCCGATTCAAATCGCCACTTCTCTCGTCGAGACCGCCACCGGCGCCGTCCAAAGCTTCCACCCCATCAAATCAATCCACCAACATCTCTGCGCGTAATTACACCCACATTTAAATCAAATTCCCCGATTTTTGTTTCACTTTTCTCGAGTTAAAATCACGTTTTGTTGGTTGTTTTTTGTTGTTGTCGATTTCATTTCTATGGCTACGACATGACCCGTTAAGTCGAGTCGCACCATTACTGCGCGCATCGAAACGAAGAAATGCGGCAGTGTCTGATCTACGATGGCCCCGGAGCCGAAGCAAAACTGATCGGATTAGAGTACATGATATCGGAGAATCTATTCTTGACGTTGCTGGACGAAGAGAAGCCGCTCTGGCATTCGCACGAGTACGAAGTGAAGAGTGGGGTACTGTTCCTTCCCGGAGTCCCCGGGCCGATCGAGCTGCACGGCCTCGACACGGTTTGCAAAACTTATGGTAAGACCATCCATTTCTGGCAGGTTGATAAAGGTGATAATCTCCCTCTTGGTTTGCCCCAATTGATGATGGCTCTCACTCGAGATGGTCAGCTCTACGACCAACTCGCCAAAGGCAATCGAAGTAAATCGAGCGTTGGACACATAAAATGAAGTGACCAAATATGTTATAAGTTGTATTTAATTAATGAAGATGTCGAGAAGCGATTCGGAGTTTCGATCGAGAAAGAGAGGGCGAAACGAGTCGAGCTGAAGGGTCCGGATCATGGGATTCATCCACTGGCGAATGGTGGGGGGAACGGCCTTATACCTAAACTAAGGGAGGTTGATTGCAAGCCTGCTGATTCGGTTCCTCGGGTCTTCGTTTAAATATCATTACAAGTTCCAAGAACCCTAGCGCGCAAAACTGTACATTTGCGGCGTTTTTTTTTACCTATATCGGCGTTTTTAAACGCCGCAAAAAACACCTGCGGCGCTATGACAAACGCCGCAAAAAGCGCCGCTGCAAATAGCGTCGCTAAAGTTCGCGGCGTTTGGTAACAAAAAAACGCCGCAATAGGTAACGATATATAGCGGCGTTTATTGGACAAACGCCGCAATAGGTGTTGATATTTGGCGGCGCTTTTCCTACAAACGCCGCAATAGGTGTTGAGATTGAGCGGCGTTTTCCCACAAACACCGTAAAAGATCTGGTATATAACGGCGTTTTTAGAACAAACGCCGCAAAATGTCATATCTATAGCGGCGTTTTAAGATACAAACGCCGCTAATTACCTCTCTATAGCTAAAAGAAATTGATTTTGCAAATTAAAACTAATTTGTCAAATGTTGTTTTCTACTCTTTTATTACCCAAATTTAACCTGTAGCATTTTCCAATAAACTTGACATCCATAACAACAAACTTAAAATCCATAACAAGAAAAATGAAATCCATAATAATAAATCAAAGTTTACATTAACGTAAAATATAATGTAGTTCAACATTATTAACTATAATAAATAATAATATCTAAGATATTTTGTTTCTAATCTTACACATTCTTCAAAACTCTTATTGCCACTGATTCAGAAATTCATATGGAGATGGCATACTGCTCTTAGAATTTTGATGTTAGAAAAAAACACTATAAAGAAGCTTCAAGAGAATCACATGCTGTTAGGACATTGGACCTGAAAAGGAAATGAAAACAATAATGCAAAATCTGAGCAACTGATAATAAAATGGATCAGACTATTTAAAGCTTAAACAAGAAATTATGTCTGCATACGGCAAATAATATCTCCAAAGATACCTTCTAACTACGGTAACTTCAACTTAGAGCACTGCACCGGCCTTTCCAGTAATAGGAGCCTCCTGGAAAAGAGTATACACCTTTAAAACACAATTTTCCCCTAAGATCCATGAAATTTGATAGGGAAACAACTAATTAAGCCCTAACAGGTTCAATATTTGTCTTGTCATTTACCTGTGCTAAAGAACTTGATGGAGGATTAGAAAACCTGGAATGACCAGGAAAAAAGTCAAATTTCAATCTCAACATACAGAAACCTTTTTCAATAAAGACTTCTTTAGGCATTATATATATCTAACAATGTAGGAAAGGGTGCTTTAGCACTGGAACATACCTGATCGCCCTAGCTTTTCTCTTTTCTCCTTCCACTGTATCAGATTTGGCATATGGTGCAAATCGGGCTAGTCGAGCTTTTTTCTTCTCTTCCTCGTCAACAGCTGTAAAGGGCGCAGCAAGCCCAAACCTGGTAACCAATGAAAAGAATATATAAATCAATTAAGTGCAACTCTGAGCAATACCATGACCGGGTAAAGGTGATATGGACAAAAACCTCTCTGCTCTAGCCTTCCTCTTCACCTCCTCAGATTGCTTTGATGTTTCTGATCCCTTTGAGTCGGCTGTGCCAAACCTGTAAAATTTGTCCACAAATCAACAAACATAAAGAAAACTCATGAAATGGGATTCAACTTCCACAACTACAGTTACTAGACCTTTACCGTATAATGAAATTCCTTCCAATACATATAAAATTGAGCCAAATAGGTAACTATGTGAGATTATAAATGCGGGCTATCAAGGCAACTATGTAATATTATAAAGGAGTTACACTAATTTCTAAAGAACCAACGGAAAAAATGATTAAGAGACAATAAATTTGAAAATTAAGAGGTTCTAAGAGATTCTATACAATCTAAACAATGAACAATTTCATGAATATTAATCTAGGCTTCTCAGCGCACCAACAATCAACAATCGCATCCAAAGAAAATTTATAAGAATATAAATTTTAGAAACAAAATAAAACTTCATCTTCTCTTCTCTTCAGAAATGCTCAACAACAAGGTATAAAAAACCAAAAGAAAAACCCTAAATAACACCTAAAATGAAAAAGGCAAAATAGAATTTACCTCTCGGCCCTAGAATTACACATTCTTTAAAAGAGTGATCCTGGATTAGTGGCAAACAGAAGATATAAAAATTGCTTCTTTCCACAACCCATAAATCAAAGTTTCGAGTAAAATACAGGGAATTATAAGGGGGGAAAAGAGAACCTGCATGCAAGATCGACCAAAGACGTGAATGGTGGGTCTGGTCCAAGGAATGTGATTGTCGAGGTAACTGAAGAATTCCCATGAGACATCGTATGCTAAAAACTTGGGAACGTAAACTACATTGCTTCCGTTTCCAAGATCAACAATTTGGGCCTTTTTACCATAGTCGTTAGGGTTAGGGTTCATTTTTAACTTAAAATCCATCAAACTAGTTGAAGCAAGTAGCCTTTAAACAGCAAAAATCTGGTAAAGCAGAAGCAGTGTAGTTTAAAGGGCGTGACACTTAAAATTTGTAAACTTGCGGCGTTTGTAAACACAAACGCCACTATAGTACAAGTGTATAGCGGCGTTTGAATAAAACGCCACTAAAGTACGAGTCTTTAGCGGCGTTTTTATAAAAACACCACTAAAGTATGAGTCTTTAGCGGTGTTTGTATAAAAACACCACTAAATTATGAGTCTTTAGCGGCGTTTGTAAACACAAACGCCACTATAGTACATATATATAACGACGTTTGTATAAAAACGCCACTAAAGTACAATTCTATAGCGGCGTTTGTATAAAATGCCACTAAATTACAAGTCTTTCGCGGCGTTTGTATAAAAACTCCACTAAAGTACTACTCTTTTGCGGCGTTTGTTGAAAAAACGCCTCTATCGATGAACCTATTGCGGCGTTTTTATAAAAACGCTGCTAAAGTTACCATTTTGTGGCGTTTTCTATGTAAACGCCGCTATATGTTTAAAATTAGTGGCGTTTACTCCTAAAACGCCGCTAAAAACGCCTCTGTAGAACAATTTTGCTGTAGTGGTGGTTGGCAGCAACAATTACAAGTTAAAATAAGTGTAACAAAAGAACAAAGACTATAGCTAATGTTGCATATCATGTTTGTGTTGTTGTTTTAAGTACTTGTGTTTTATTCAATTACTTTTCAAGACACTTAATTTGAGGTGTTTGTGTATATAGCAGTCTCATATTCACTCCAAGTTCATCTAATTTCTCAGAAAATTTGACTGTTTCTTTTCCCAAGCCCCTTTAAGCTTTTAGGAGTGCTAATTAATTGAATAAAGGATGTGTGATTTTGGTAGAATTTTTACTTTCTTCATCTTGTAGAAATTCTAATTATGTAAATATGTTTGTTAGTAAAATGGTAATCCTACAATACATACACAAATACGTAGCCCATCGTACGATATATTGCAAATGCCTCTGAATTTTTTTTTGAGAAGGGATGAAAAAAATGAAGTTTCAAAAATTTAAGGGTCAAAATTAAAAATTATTTCTTTTGTTAACATGCGAATTGCCCGTCCTTTGCGCTCTTAACCCTGTGGTCGTGGGATCGAGTCTCACGGTGAGCAATTCATAATTCTGACTGTCGGAGGTCTCCCACAGAAGCTGCTCTCAACCTGACGTTGGGGGCAACCTACTATCCTACCTCCCCTTACCTTATTACATATGGGAATATGGTCAGCTAATTTTCTTTTGTTAACATGCCATCTTAATTAGGATGTCAATTTAACCCGAACCTTATGGATTCAACCTCATCCGAATCAAAAAATTTGGACAAGTAAATTAAAACTAAAAAAGTAACCATTAGAGCAGAACAGACTAAAATTAAAAGTAACCATCCACAATTTACCCAAATATTAATGGACAAGTGTAGTTGAAAGTGGCTGTTAGATAGCCTTGCTTGTCGCTTGCCCTCTCAAGAACGCACTTCACCACCTTAATTTGCGCCTCAAAACACTCTCCTCATTCAATGCACACCACTCTTCTTCAGTTTCAGTCTCTCTCTATATATTTATAAATATATATGTATGTATCATTGTTATCAATCAAAATAAAAAATGGCGAAAATCGAGATGACAATTCTGGTCCTGTCGTCGATGTTCGTGACGATATTCACGGCGGTTAACGGATACGGTACGATAGTGGGAGGCAAAACGCCGATCAGCGACGTGAGCTCGAACAAAGGGGTGCAAGAACTGGGGAGGTTCGCGGTGGCGGAGTACAACAAAAGCCAGCTGCAGAAGGGAAACGGCGGCGGTAATCAGCTGGAGTTTTCGCAGGTGGTGGAGGCCGGCCAACAGATAGTCTCGGGGATCAAATACTTTCTGAAGATCGAAGCGACGGAGAATGGCGAGAAGAAGACGTTCGATGCGGTGGTTTTGATCAAACCTTGGTCTCAACCCGAAGAGAGGCAAATGCTTAGCTTCTCTGCATCTAATCAATAAGGATGGATGGATGGATGGATGGATGGATGGATGGTGTTAGTTTGTGGTTCTAATTAAGCCTGTGATTTTCCATTGTATTATTATTGGTATTGGAACGTTTAATATGCAGTAATGAATAAAGGTATGGATAATGCCAAGTATTTTTCTTCTTCTTCATGTAGAAATTATCTATTGTTCATGGTTCCATATTTACTCTTCATAGAAATGGAAAATGTATTTTATATTCGGCATATATTACTCGTATATGAATAAAGGTGTGGGCTCTAATAAATTTTTTAATCATTAATTGATCTAATAACTAATTAACTACTAATTAATTAAATTGAATTTTAGTTCGATCAATTAATTCAGTTAAAATAAAAAAGTGAACAGTTTATATCGAAAAATAAAATAAAAGAGTGAATTTAATTTAATAGGGAAAGTTAAGGGTTTTTTTTGGGCCCTTAGGGCTCTAAAATTATTTAGGGAAAAAGAGATGTCAATAAATTATTTTGGTATCTACGGTATTTTCTATAGTATAGGATAATTTCGTCATCTCGAAGTGATGAGTTCCACGTGATATTATTTTTATATTCGAATATCATTATTTTAAATATTTCTTACGAAATTATCACATCGAGGTGACGAGTTTCATTAAAATATTAGTTTTTCAAATTTTAATAAGAATTTTTAATGAAACTCGTCACCTCGAAATGACGAGTTTCACAAAAAATATTAAAATAATGATATTTGAATATAAAAATAATATCTCATGCCGTTACTATAGAAAATGTCGTAAATTTAAATTAATTTTTGAGATGTCTTATTGGGCCAAATAATTATACCGGGTGGCCTATCGGGCCAAGAAAAAACCAAAGCTAAGCTTCATTGGGCTATGCTAGACCTATACTTAACTAACTTTAATGCCGAATTATATGTAGTTGTAATTTGTATAACTTTTTTAAAATATAATAATATTTAAATATTTTTTTGAAAAATAAGAAATAATTAAGTCATGATAATGTTTTAAAAATAATTGTCATATATAATGAATAAAGTATTGAAGATATATATTTTAGTGACTATTTATGTATATTATATCTGTTGTGTCCAATAATTTTTTTAGCAATACAAGGTTTTAGTATACTTTTTCCCTATAGTTCTTAGAAGGGATTTTTAATGAGTCTCGTTTTTCTTTTAAAAAAAGTAAATTTAAACTATTTGAATTTGATTATTACCATAAAATAAAATATTTTTTCTCCAAATTAAATGAAACATTCTATTTATGAATAGATTTAGCTGTTGTCATATCTACATCGTAGATATAACATTAAATAGTTAAAATATTTATAAAAAATATTAACTTATTAAATTTGATATAAAAATATATAATTTTAACTACAATAAAAATGAGACCAAATTTATATTTTTGTATTCTTTAATGAAAAATAAATATGAGGAATTCTTTAAATAAATATTCCAAATTAAATAATTTAATTTGAATTTATAATACGCAATTCAATTATTCAAAATATATGAATAATGCAAATAGTTTCTTATTTTGAAATGAACTCTTAATGGTGCAAAATTTCATAACACATTTTTATTATACTTAAATATGATTAAATATTTACTTTAATTCCAGTAAAAAAATATTAGATTTTTTTATTTAATCCATCTTAAATTTATTTTCATGCACACGATTATAAAACTTTCAATTCGAATTTGTTTAATTAAATAAGATAAAGTTAATTTAAAATTTTCAATGTATTAATATTCATAATTAATGTAATAATTATTAAATAATGCTAGTTTTAAATTATTTGTTCGGATGGAATGAATGTTATAGTTGGAATATAAGTCCATTGTGCTCCCGAGACTCGCATTGTACTCCTAGCGATTTATGAAAGTCTTATTACACTTCATGCTTCCTAGTGGCCTTAATTTTTTTTTGGGTATTAAAAAGTTTAGGTAAGGGTGACTTCCTCGTTCAGGGCACACTTAAGACTCAATTAAGATTTACATAAGAATTTACAGATTGCCCACCAAGAGTAACGGTAGTAAGATTCGAACTTGACCTTACAAACTCAAATTTCTGAATCCCAACTACAGTAAAATTAATCATAAAAACTATTCTCCAACCACTCTAAGTTATTAATCATAATTACCAATGGTTATTCGAAACATTTAATAAAACAAATCCATAAAAATCTATAATAATAATTGAAATGAAAACAAAGAGGTGTTGTGGTTCATATTGAAAACAAAGATGCGAGGCAATTGGAGCGACCCTAAAACTCCACTCAACCTAAAATATTATAGTTTTAATGTTTTTGATTTAGTTAAAAATATTATAAAATATAAATTTTTTTATTATAATTTAAAATATTATAAATAAAATTTACATTAAAAAACATAATATTTTAAATTACGTACAACCTAAAATAGTATAAATAACTTAATATTTTAGTTCGGATTTTTCTTTAACTTTATATTCACCTAGAATCATCGGGTGAACCACAGTATATGGTAACATGAAATATCGATGAAGAATCAAGAGAAAAAAATTTAATAAATAAAAAATGATAAATTATAAATTTGATAACTGAATTTTATTCTCTCTCTTATTTCATTCATTATGTTTTAAGTTTTTTAATTTTCTAACTAAACTTAATATATTAATTTTTTGTCACTCGACCGTTAAATAGTTAACCGCATTAAAATAGACAATTATATAGATACAAAACAATGTAGTTTTGATGAACATTTTGTTTTTTTAAACGACATCGTTTTTAATTATTTAACGACAGAGTGACTAAAATAGAAGAGAATAAAATTTAATGACAAAAAAATCTAATATATTAAGTTAATTGAAGGAATTTAAGAAATTTTAAAGATGAGTGGGCAAAATAAAAGCCAAATTTGAGATTTTGTAATTTACCCATAAATAAATAAATCCTAAACTCCCGTAATTACAAATTTTGCCTTTTTTTAATTAATTATTATATTTGCCTTTAAATACTCACTTCAGATCAGCTCGGAATTTTTTTACACTTATCGTTTTCGAAATCATCTGTTTCTTTCTTTCCCTCTTTTAATCTTTTCGATAGGTGACCCCTTTTTGTTCAATTTCTCTTGGGGTCGCCCGAAAATAAAATATAAAAAAACCAAAATTCTCTTCGAATTTCTAAATTATCGTTGGATTCTAATCCAAAAAAGGTTTTTTTTCCCGGTTTTTTTGAATATATTTATCAACCATGTCGGAAGTAGCCAACGTGGATCCGGAAGGGATCGACGCTGTGCGGATGACGTGGAACGTTTGGCCGCGCACCAAAGTGGAAGCCAGCAAGTGCGTGCTGCCGTTGGCGTGTACCATCTCTCCGATCCGCTCGCATCCGGACATCCCCACGCTCCCTTACGCGCCTCTTAGGTGCAAGACGTGTACAGCTTTGTTGAACGCCTTCGCGCGCGTTGACTTCACCGCCAAGATCTGGATCTGCCCTTTCTGTTACCAGCGCAACCATTTCCCGCCTCACTACGCCATGATATCCGAGACGAATCTCCCCTGCGAACTCTACCCGCAGTACACCACCGTGCAGTACACGCTCTACCCGGATCCGAACAACCCTGCCAATGCTTCTCAGTTGCCGCCGGTGTTTGTATTCGTGTTGGACACTTGCATGATCGAGGAAGAGCTTGGCTTTGCCAAATCGGCGATGAAGCAGGCGATTGACTTGTTACCGGAAAACTCGCTCGTTGGGTTTGTTTCGTTTGGGACTCAAGCTCATGTACATGAATTGGGGTTCTCGGATATGTCGAAGGTCTATATTTTCAGGGGTAGTAAGGAGGTTTCCAAGGAGCAGGTGTTGGAGCAGTTGGGGCTTGGTGCTGCGAGGCGGCGGCCGACTCCCGGGTATCCGAAGGGCTACACAGATACTGGAGTCAATAGGTTCTTATTGCCTGCTTCCGATTGCGAGTTCACACTGAATTCGGTGCGTTTTTTTTTATCAATTTTTGTGTGGGAAATCATATTTTAAGTTGTTGAACTTTTTACTAAGTTGTTGGTTGATTTCACTGTAGTTGCTGGATGAGTTACAAACGGATCAATGGCCTGTAAAAGCGGGGCAGAGAGCGTCAAGGTGCACTGGAGTGGCCTTGAGTGTTGCAGCTGGATTGTTGGGAGCCTGTTTGCCTGGTACTGGTGCTCGGATTGTTGCTTTGGTTGGTGGTCCATGTACAGAAGGTCCTGGGACGGTAATGCCATTAAATCCTTTGTTTAGCTGCTGAATTTTTACTTATAGGACAATTAAATTATACAAACAAAAAAATTATATAATTGATAGTCAAGTAGGTCTAATTCGTTTTACCGTGAGTTGGAAGTAGTTGATGGGTTTAACACATAATAAATGTGCCCTATATTACTTGGAATTGTTTTTTTTTCATGAAGTACATGTGTCTTGTACGGGTATGAGGATATGACCAACGCTCAATCCGATTCTACCATAGATTATATATGGTTGATCTGGATATTATTTGTTGTAACCTGTATGTAGTATGGCCTTTATATTAGAGCATAACCACAGGTACCCATCTTTGTATGAAACAGGGCAATGTCTAAAACCCAGTTCTCTGTTTGATGCATTTAATGTCAGTGCATTTACTTATGCAATTAGCTAAAGATTGATTCTATTTTATGCAAATTATTCCTGTTTATCACCTTCATTCTTTCATCAATTTTATTTGCACAATTTTATGTTACCTTCATAGTTCCGTGTAGCTTATTGCCTTAATAAGTACTGTTTCTTTGTCAGATATGATTGTCAATATTTAAACACCTTTTACTTCTTTTAATGAGTCATAGACAAGAATTATTTGATTGAGAAAACGGAGATTATGCAATAATCTTAATAGAAAGATTGCTTCTTGTTTAAGACATTTTTGTTTGTCATCAAAATGATACTGATTTATATGACTTTTGCAGATTGTATCTAAAGATATGTCGGACCCTGTACGTTCCCATAAAGATCTTGATAAGGATGCTGTACCTTATTTTAAGAAAGCTGTCAAATTTTATGATAGTTTTGCTAAACAGCTGGTCAGCCAGGGTCATGTTCTCGACCTTTTTGCATCTGCACTTGATCAGGTGTGTCTAGGAAACTTTTTAGTTTCTCCAATTGTATTTAAACTCTCTTTCGTTCTTATAATATGTCTGTGATGTTTCTGTTGTCAATGTTCCATCCAAACTAGTTTACTCTCTTCAGAAGGATCAATTCACTCGATAAACTTTTTTGTTCTTTTGTGCCTTTATAACTGGTCCCATGAATTGAATTTAAACAATGATAAACCTACTGAAGAAGATAAGATACAAGGACCCTAGTCTTATTTGAAACTTTAACAGCCCAATGTGTAATTCTTAATATGCAAAACTTTCTTCTCTGTTGCAATTGGAGTTAACTCTTTACTTTCTGTAAATATATGATGCAGTGGAAATATGATGGCATTAAGGCTTTTCCCCTTGCTTATTTGATTGGTGGCTTGTAATGTAAATGCTTTATGCTGTAAGAGTCCGTGGGTGTTAGTAGTTATTCTGTTTAAAATGGACGCAAAACTTTTATTTTTAATGAAAGCTAATAATTTAAGATGTTAGTAATCGTGACAATGTGAACTGTATATAAATGTGTAAAGGGTTTTTGTGTGTTCTCAGGTTGGGGTTGCTGAAATGAAAGTTGCCGTCGAAAGAACAGGTGGCCTTGTTGTTCTAGCAGAAAGTTTTGGTCATTCTGTATTCAAAGACTCTTTCAAGCGTGTGTTTGAGGATGGGGAACAGCCTCTTGGTCTATGTTTTAAGTTAGTTTCTCCTTTCACACCATTTCTTGTTCAGTCTTTTTATTATATTTTCCCTGCTTGTTGGTGAATAACTATATAGCTGCATTCTTAATTGGTTTATTTATATTTTTTGCTTCAGTTCCAGTTGGCATTGTGCTATTTTTTTTAAGTTCTAAAAGTGCCAACCTCACAGTGTGCTGCTCTGAAAAAGTGTAATCTTTTGACATAAAAGTTTGTTGACCTTTGTATATTTCTGGAAGTAGAGTAAAATTTATCAAATTGCAAATACTACTAATCTGTTTTGACATACTCTTCCCATTGGCTTAATAGGTTTTTATGTAAATATTGCAAATTGGGGTGCCTGTATTAATGAAAGTAATATATGTATTACCTTGCTGCAGTTGGAGTATAATTTCTGATTTCAAACGTATTCTGTTTACATTGCTCATGCTGTGCTTTAAGTTTTTGCATTCGCATGCATTTTCTGTAACTTGTATGATTTCCTGAGGCATGGTTTGGAGCACCCTGAAAAGTGAACTATTTTAGTGTAGTATATATTTCAAACTAATTATATGCTCTCTTTTTTCCTAGTGGCACCCTTGAGATCAACTGTTCTAAAGACATCAAGATTCAGGGGGTTATTGGGCCTTGCTCGTCTTTGGAGAAGGTCGGGCAATTTAGAAATTTGGTTATATATCTCACTATCTCGACAAAGACACACACTATAAAGTGTAGACACAGTTTATTTGTATTTATAGGGACTGAAGCTGATAATTTTGAGGGTTGCAGAAAGGGCCTAATGTTGCTGATACTTTCATTGGAGAAGGAAACACTACAGCATGGAAGATGTGTGGTCTTGACAAGAGTACTTGCTTGACGGTTTTATTTGATCTTTCATCAACTGACCGATCAAATGTTCCCGCAATAGCAAATTCGCAGCTCCATTTGCAGTTTCTTACAAGGTTTGCTGCTCGAACTACCTAAAGGGTCCTCTTTATTTACCTTAAAACTGTATGTTGACTTTGTTTCTAATTTTCTCTTTTTGTAATTTGACCGTGGTATTATTATTGCAGCTATCAAGACCCTGAGGGTAAAACAATGCTCCGAGTTACTACTGTGACTAGACAATGGGTAGACAGTGCTGCTAGTTCAGAGGTTAGTTTTGGTTGTTTAAGTTGTCTGAATAGTACCTAAATTAATTTTTTTCTTCCTTTTTGTCCCATTTTTGTTTTGTTAAATTTCAACGTTGGTGGGCTAGCTGTTTTGTATAAATTTTGCTGCTGTACGTGTCTTTGTTTGGATAGTGTAAAGATCGATTACGTTTGCTGGAAATTGGAATTAATTTATGCTAACCATGAATGATGTTTTCTGGCAAATATTCAATGTATTTATCATATTATTCGATTGATTAATTGTTTGAAATCACTCTTATTTCTATTTATAATTTTATCTACTTTCTAGGAATTAATACAAGGTTTTGATCAAGAGACTGCGGCTGTTGTAATGGCAAGAATAACTTCCCTGAAAATGGAGACGGAGGTAATTTAGGAAGTCTTTTATTCAGCCATCCTCCTGTTGCTTATTTCATTTGAATGTATTCATTGTTAACTTTTAATTCGTCTGATTTGTGTCTGCTTATTTCATTATGCTATTTTTATTGAATAATTTCCATTTTTATTCTGTATTCATGTTACTGGATATGATTATTCTCTTCACCCTCGGTTTTTAGTGGGTCTCCCCCGTTATAATTTCTATGTATTATCTTTTGGCATCTTGCCAAACATGTTTTTATGTTGATTGTTATTATTTAATTATTAGTTAGTTAATCCCTTGCATGATCATGACTTTTGGTTTCATTCAGGAGGGGTTTGATGCTACAAGGTGGCTAGACCGGAATCTCATCCGATTTTGTTCTAAATTTGGCGACTACCGAAAGGATGATCCATCATCTTTTACATTAAACCCTTGTTTTTCTTTGTTTCCTCAGTTTATGTTTAATCTGCGGCGGTCACAATTTGTACAGGTAATAATTTCTTTTTCCTAAATACGCTGCCGTCTTTTCAATAATAATTGCTTGAGCTACGTTTGTAATGGTTTTTAACCCATTTTCTGTTACAGGTTTTTAACAACAGTCCAGATGAAACCGCCTATTTTCGCATGTTATTAAACAGGGAAAATATTACAAATGCTGCTGTCATGATTCAACCATCGTTAATATCATATTCATTTAACTCGCTACCGCATCCAGCATTATTGGACGTGGCTTCCATTTCTGCTGATCGTATTCTGTTGCTGGATTCATATTTTAGTATTGTAATTTTCCATGGCATGACAATAGCACAGTGGCGCAACATGGGTTACCAGAACCAGCCTGAACATCAGGTATGTTCATTTTGTTCGTAGCTCCTGAATCTGGAATTGAATTGCATATTTATTTTAGAACCAGTATGTTTGTTTTATACAAATTTCTTTCATGCCTGAAGCTAAAATTTTACCAATAACAAGGACCCTTTAGGTAGAACAAATGTTTATTCTTATTTCAGTCTTACTGATTCTTGTGAAAATTTTATCTTAACGATTGACTGAAGCAAGTACTTGGTACACATCACCTTGCAGCTCTGAAATTTAAACTATGAGATTAATCACACTGATCTGCTACCTCATCGTAATGTAGAACATAGTGAAGTTTCTGATGTGCTTAAATTTCGTGTTCATAAACCATTTAGTATGCGAATGGTCTATCATTGTCTTGTATAAAGCTTCATTCTTGTCTCCCTTTCCACAGGCATTTGCTCAACTTTTGCAAGCACCTCATACGGATGCACAAATGATCATTAGGGAACGCTTCCCTGTCCCTAGATTGGTTGTTTGTGATCAGCATGGATCCCAGGTCAGTATATTTCAGTAAGGCGTGATTCCCTTTTTCAAATATTTCTTGGGTATATAAAAACTGTTCTTGGTTTACCCCTGTTTACAATTGTTCTTGGTTCATGTGTCCAATGCAAGCTTACCTTATATGGGTTTAGTTTTCATAATCTTATTTGGTATATGGTAATTGTAAATTAGGGCTTATTTTCTGTTTCCGAGCAGGCAAGATTTTTATTGGCAAAGTTAAACCCATCAGCAACATACAATAATGCCAATGATATGGCTGCCGGCTCAGATGTGATCTTCACTGATGATGTAAGCTTACAAGTCTTCTTTGAGCATCTCCAGAAGTTGGCTGTACAATCTTAATTATAGAAAATAGTCTTAAAGACTTGGCGGTCTTGTTTTGGTATGAAAATTCAAACGATGTGAGTTTTGTATCTTGTCTTACATCCTCTCTTCCATTCGGTTCCTTTACCTTTCTCTCCATAAATTTTATGAACGAGACATCGAACACATCACGATCTTTGGAAGAAAACATCAAGGATAAAGATAGAATCATATCATTCCTTTGAGGATTTGGCTGGAACTTATCGAGGGAATAAGCAAGGCATCAAAGAGGTCAGTTTGAGTTGTTTTTCTTTTAGATTTACAGGGAAAGGAAGGTACTGGTGAGAATGTATTCAAATAGGAACATATTTGGATAGAACATTTTTTTCTTTTTTTTTCTTTTTGGGATATTGAATCAGAAGAGTGGATGTGTATTTGTGTACTGAATCTAAAATGTCGTATATAGTGTGTGATTGGGGTTTAAAGACTCCTTTAGGTTGAGAAGTTGATATGGACATGGAAATTCCAATGACATGGCTCGTTTTCGTTTCTTTAAAGCCTTGTTTTTTTTGTAAGAATGATAATAGCATTGATGAGCATAAAACAGATGTTGAAATAACCATCTTATCCGACAAGGAACACGAAGATCAATATGTATCGTGTTGCGGTTTTTACCTTAGCAACCCGCTGATAGGAGCAGCCATTGAAGAATCCTGCCCTAATATTGTTTTGCTCTGTATTTAGTGACTAAATCAATAAGGTTGTGATATGATCTTTCATTAGCCCTTGCTTCTGGTTCGAGGGAGGTTAATATCGCTTCACAGTCTCTAAGAAAATGCCCCTTTCCGAATGTTGTAAGAACGAGCAGATCGGTGTTTGATTCTACAGCTATGTACAGGAGCCCCGTCTTTCTCCAAGTCTTTAAGGTTCCAACCCCATCAAACCCGATCTCGATAGCATCTAATTGGATCCTGATAGTGGTTATGTCGGATCTTACTTGATGGCTATGTAATAGAGAAAGTGAACTTCTCAAATGCTTGAAATCTTTCATCTTCAAATAAGCTAGCAGGGTAATGTTTGCTATCTTTACATTCCCAGAAGCTTTTGCTCCATCCATTTCTCGGACAACGGAATTCGTCCCTTTTCAACTTGAAACACGAGCATGAGAGAGGAGGTGCAAAGTCCAGACAAGATTGTTCTATCGGTTCTCGAAGAAAGATCGATACGCAGTCCCGGATCATCTAATCTCGAAAACAAATAGTTCTTGATATAAACATTGGCTAATTTCCAACTGTATCCTCTTTCAAAGAAGTCGAGTTCATTGCCTTTCGACAAACCTTCTCCATCTTATCTAGAATCCCGTAGTTTGCATATGCCTCAAGCATTGCAACCAAAGAAGACTGCAAATTCATCTGTCTCTAGATCACGATACGATAAACCCGTCCCATTTTTTGAAGCAACCTGCCACCAGAAAACTCCCAGAAAAGCAAGTTGTAGGCGAAACGGTCAGGTGGACACCCATCCAACCCATCGTCTTCAAGCATGTACCGGTTTTATCATACATTTTATAGTTTCCATATGCATGGATGAGTCCATCTTAGGCCATCAGTTTCGTGTTCCAATCCTATTTCTTTCAACACATTTGAGGAAGAACACAACATAATCAAACTTTCCATTCCTGGCTTAAGCATGGATTATCGTTGTAAATCTCCGAACAAGGTCGAACATTTCGCGTAGTGCTGTGACTCCTTCAGCCACCCCCTCTTCACTTTCACATTACGATCCTATTATCTTTTCATAGCTCAGTCCATTGATTCTTGATTTCTCTATGTTTTTTCCCACATATGAAAAACCTGCCAGATATATAACTTCTAAATTTCCAAAGAGTAATCAAATTGGAAAACTACAAAACATCTCGTGTTCCATATTCACTGTATTTTCCCACCCATTTTCTAGCTCAAAATTTCTCATTTTCCATCCTTTTCTCACTGACCAATCAGAGTGCCATTTTCATTCAGTTCAATTAAAGATTCATAATAACTGTTACATCACTAAAACTGAACTCTAAGAACTGTATTCTCTGCATCCGCCCTTCAACTTTTTAACCCAAACTTCTCATTTACCATCCATTTCTCAGAGTCTAAACAACAATTTAGTAAAAATCTCAACTTTAAAGACTACATTCATTGTATTTTCTCCAACCAAAACTTCGTTTTCCATCATTTTCTCAGAGACCAAACAAGGTCTCATTTTCATTAAGCATAAAAACAAATCATTAAAAGCCACATTCCAAGTTTAGAAAAAATCTGAACTTTAAGGATTGCATGATTTGAAAAACACAGACAGCGAAAAAGGAAAGAACCTGGAGGATTTCATTAGATCTGTACGCATGCCTGAGATATAACTGATGGCAGCCCAGAAACCATTTTTGGTCCAGTCTCCAGCTTTGTATGGGTTTTGGAAGAACAACCATCGGGCAGTGGCGGCGGTGATGGGCGGAGAGAAGATAGACAACAAGAACATCAATGCCTGGTCCGTTTGCGGAACTGAGTTTTTATCAAAATCGATTTTTTGTTGTAATTATTGGTGGAGAATCGTCATCTCAACGTGATTTTGCAGTCTAAATTCAGGGTTAGTGCATTCTCCCTCTAAAAACATAAAATTTCTCTGAATCTCCTCTCTCGCTTTCGGATTTGAAGAGTTCTATATACTATCAACTTTTTATTATTTTTCTCTTGTTCTGTCAATTATATAATCTATTTCTATATATATATAACAATATAATTATTAATAAAATTATAGGGCAAGAGCTAAATTAATAAAAAAAAATTGTACTAGTACTAAATTAATAATACACGAACCAAAACAACTACACCACTCAATAATGTCTAACATAACCAAAAATTCAGTCGTGGAGCATTTATGAATCCTAATTTACATACGAACAGCACACAAACTGTGCCCACAGCGGCCTACCCTTCACTTTCCTCTTCTCTTTTTTGATATCAGCTTCATATCTTGCCGGAGAATTCCATTCTTTCGCCGCTTCTACACCGGTCGGTTTGGCATCGGGTGATTCAGGTCCCAGAATTGAGCTAACTTTAGTAACCATGGCTACATTTGAGTTCGGGGACTTCTGCTTCGTCTCATTAATGGCTTCGCCTAGTAGGCTCTTGAGTGGTGTGTGCTGCTTCGCGTTCCAGTTAGTTACCTTTGCTATGATCTCTTCGTTCTTCTTTCTTCCGTGTGATTCGTTTGCTGTGTGAGTGAGAGAAGGAAACCAGCCTGCTTGCAGTGGCACAGTGGTGGCGGGGGTCGTTTGGTCGCTACCTCCGGGTTCAACCAATGTCATGAAAGATGGTGGCTCGAATTCATCGGTTTTATCGAGTTGTTCTCCTGATGCAACTGTTGGTTTCTTTACGTTGGCTTTCTCCGGTTCCGAAGACAGGTGTAAGTTGTTTATCGGCAGGTTGTCTGATCTGGTTGAAATAACTGCACCTTGCACAAAAAGAAAAGAAATGAACTTAGTTCCTGGAACAAAATTCTCTGCTTCCACTCTATGCGACAAAATAAAGCATTTATGATGGGAAAATGCAATGAGTGTCAGCCTATGTTACTCGGACTCGGGTGTGAATGTCGAATGCAAGTGTGTCTGGCATTGGTATCATCGGATCAAACCAGTTCTAAAGTCCATGAACGGTTAATTTAAGAATCTAACATACCTGAAACAGATCCCCACTGACCATCCAAGCTATCAGTTTGGCTACTTGATTTCGAAACATCACCTATGGTTGCACCAAGTTGAGGTTTAATAGAGCAATTATCGGCCTCCCCTTGCACACTTATAGTGCTAGTCCACGAAATGTCCGCCCTAGACTCTCCGGTACGACTATCATTAACAGCATCAGAATTCTGAGTGGTAGACTCGGGATCTGGATGTATCGACTCCTTGTTCAACTGGTCCAGAGAAGATTCATCAAACTCGTTTCCTCCGCTGTTCTCTGCCACAGAAGCCATAACCTTGCCCGCACACTCTCCTTGCTCCTTGCTATTCCTGCTTATTTTCGATTCCTTTATGTCACCTGGACTGTTCCAAACACTATTTGAGTGTGGACCTTCAGTCTCCGGTAAGGCTATCGTATATTCATTACTACCTCCCTTTGTGACAACTATGGATTGATGATGAGGGATAACGGATTCAGATGTGGAATTTTCAAGTAAGTTCAGTGCAGGGTTGGTTTGGGACAGAGAAGAATCGTATATTGGCGTGCTTTTCACATTATTTTCGTCATCAATTCTTCTCGTGTCGTCGACTTCAGCTAAATCGATTACCCCAGTTCTAGCAGATTCAGGAACATCCATATCATCACTGCCATATACATTATTTAACTTTCTGGCCTCAACATATACAGGCTGCTTTTCTTCAAGAGAGCAGACTTCTGAGCCTGTCTCGTTCTCAGTTTTATCAGCACCAACAAAAGACACTAATGCTTCCGACCCTTTATCGAGCTGAATCATATCAGCTTTCCCCTCAACAAGCCCTTCTTTAACAATAGCCGGATCACTTCGGTCGAGTTTATAGATATCTTCGGCAACATGAGTACATGAAGTATCTGCTTTGTTGTCTTCATTCAGCTTCTTCAATGGGAAAGTATCGGATTTCTCATGGGAAACACGGTCTCCATCTTCATCTTTCTCTTTGACAATGATTTCTTCAGAAGCTAAGGTCTCCAATTCAGACAATTTCACCGTTTTATCTTCTTCCGTTTTGTCGTAGACCTCATTTGAATCGAAAGAAGTATCAGACACAGTAACTTGTGCTGCATCAATCTGTATTTGCGAGGTATCCAAAGAAACATCAATGTCTTTTGCAGATTCAGCTTTATGGGAAAGATCATCGGTAACCATGTTGAGAGCCAACTTATCGCCATGCTCTTTATCTTCGACAATTTTTTCGGCAAACCGAGTATTCGAAGTTATATCATCTGTCCCCTCGGATGTTGCACATGCTTGCTCAGAGTTAGAGTCTACGACATTCATTATGTTCTCTACTAAATTAATCCCCACGTTTTCGTTTCCATCAACCTCTTGCTCAGTATTTTCATTAATGGATGTTCTACAATCCAACCTGTCACTAACCTCTTCCTCCAATTGAACCATTACATCGCTCAAAACCGTACCTGAAGTTCCATCCGGTCTTGTTTCAGATAGAGACACAGTTTCAGATATCTCACCATCTTCAGTATCAGTCTCCTGCCTAAGAGAGCATTTGGCCACCTTATCACCGCCACCGACTTTCCAACTCTCTTCCGAGACATCCTGCCTAGCAGAGCATTCTGCCACCTTACTGCCATCACCGAGTTTTCGGCTCTCTTCCGGGACATCCACTAGTGGTTCCGTTTCGATTGCAATTACATCACCTGTTCAATGACCCAACAGTTAAGCATAAAAAAACATGAATTTTTGAAATACAACAATGCTTTCCAAAGACGTGAAGCATCAAAAACATTTTATTCTCATACTAAACCCCGCATTCATGCAGGACAGTAGCAAATTCGTTAAACTCGTATAATTCGAATCAACCGACAACGATTTACATCATCAAGTCTAATAATAAAAACTTACAGGTATCTTCACAATCTTTGAAAGAAACAGTGGGAGTAAGATCATTGCCGGCAACACTGGCTTGCCTTCCCAGACCAAAACCACCCTCTTGAAACTCCATCGGTGCATCGGAAAAGACTTCATCTTCCGATCGGACGGATATCGCTCCAACTCCACCAATATGTTTCTCCAAATTACAGCTTTCCAAGACTTTAGGAGCTCCAGCAACTAGATTCACCAAAACCAACACATTTGGTTCATTAGTCCAACAAAGTCCCCAACTAGCCCATACATATGTATCAAAACCAAAACTTGACCAACCAGATTCACCAATGTCAACACATTTGGTTCATTAATTCAGCCTAAGAAGCCATTTACAAGTGTCAAAATCAAAACTTTTCACTTTGAAAGGGACTATTATGCAAAGAGAGGAACTTTACAGGGGGTTTTGTGACACTCTTCTGAAAGAGGTTCCTCAGCTGAATTAAATAGCTTGTAACCTTCACTGGTTCCGCAGATCTTCTTGTGCGAACGCCTCTGTTTTGCACTTGGATGAGGGTTTGGAAATGGCCACCCACATTTGTGACATAAATGAACTCCATGGCTCTCACGCGCTGCAAAAATCAAAGGCTATTCCATTAAACGCCCCTAAAAATACACAAAAAATGGAAGAAAATAAAGGCAGAATGAAAGAGGAAGTTGAACTTTTTCCAGGAACAAGAAAACCCAGAAATTAGTTTTATTTTTTCCCCAGGAAAATGAGTGATTATGAAAAGAAGAAGAGAAACCGAACAACTTCAACCACCCCAGAAAATAATGCCAAAAATGAACATAAAAAAATAAGAAAAAAAAGACCTGAGGAATGATTTTTCTCCGGCGTTTGAATGTCCATAACTAAAAGGACTAAGAACAATAAACAAGAGGAAAGAGATGACGAAAAATAAACAAAGTTTCTTTCTGTTTTTTTTTTTTACACAAAGATAGCTGAGACCAGACAGGGAAGACTGTCAGTCTTTAATGAAGTGTGTGTCTGAAGTTGTATAATTAAAGTGTGAAAAAAGCCAAAGGGTTTACTTCTTTTAATTAATTTTTTTTAACTTTTATGGTGCAGTTTGTCAGTTTCAATGGTGGTGGGTCATAAGTCATAACTCGGTATGAACTCAGTAGAGGGATGTACGGAAAGTGATGGTCACCAATTGTGTAAATAACGTCGTTAACTGGTACCCCACGTGCGCTTGTTATCAGCCACCCTTCGTCATTTTGATCACTTAAATATTTTTTTTCTTTGGTTTCATTTTGATCAACATACGGTTAAACACATCATCATCATTGACATATTTAATACTTATATAAAATTAGAATTAAAATCACATATTTAATTTATATTTTTATTACAATTAGATGATCTTACCGATTCAACTAATTGAGCCAATCGCTTAAAGGTCATACCTTTAAGAAAACCCACATTTTTACTGCCCATTCAAATAGGATGCTGCACTTTTTATCTTGCATGGAGAAATGGTGAACAAGTTAATACAAGCATAGGTTTAATCTGGTATGAAATGGGGATGATCTTCAAAGCTAACTACAAAGTAGCAATCACAAAGTAAACTACTTGTTTGAGGAGTCCGATATCGTACGAATGTCGTGTTCTTAAACATAATCGGCGACGCTCATCGCTGTCCACTCTACATGAACAAGATAGAATTGAGATTACTTGACAAACAAGAAACCATAAGATGATGCTAATATGCAGTGATTTAGAAATGGCAGATGGTTCAGAGATGCTCTTTTATGGAATGCAAAGTTTAAATCACTTACTGGAATTCTGCAGTGAATGTTTAGATGATAGTTCATTTCGCTAAGATGGGCTTTGGCACATTCTTCGGCATCCGAAGCTTTCTTGCAAGCTTCTTTGATCGGAATCGAGAACGTTACGGATTTAACACAAATTTCTGTAGTGATAACAGTCTATAGCAAGTATATGGATAATAATGAAGTGAAGATAAACTTGCAACATCGTTAAACATGATGTCATTTCCTAAAAATGCGATAAAGATTTCTGTTACCTGATCGATGCAAATAACGGTCTGATCTTTGGCAACGAAAGCAGATTTATCCAACATATTCCGTAGGCACGATATTTGTTTAATTAAATCCAAGGCCATTTCTTCAGTATCTTGCATCTGATTTCTTGAGAATTCGAATGACCTCTCCGCATGAAGCCGGAACGAAGAACAGTTCAAACAAGTTCTAATACCTCTGCATCCACGTGGGTTTCGTTTGAGGACTTGCTTTTGAAGACTAGCAGACTGCATTGCAGGAGTTATAGAGGCTTCAACTAAGCTGTCAGCTTCAGTTTGCCTTTCATGGTTTGCACATTTCTCGGTAGACTTCATGCAGTCCGCTTCAGTTTCAAGAGGTAATTGACAAGCAGCCAATTTAGCATCATCTTCTCTTGGCAATAAACCAGAATTGATAAGAGAGCTTGATGACATGACGGGGGACTCAACCACATCTTTAGGCCTAGATTCTTCCTTCCGACTTGTATCCAATGCAGAAGGTTTAACAAGCAGTGGGGTCTCCTGCCGTGAATCCATTATCATTGGGGATTCAGGTACTTGTTTAGGGGTACTGTGTAAGTTTATGGTTGGATGAACTCGTAGCCATTGCTGCAACCGCAGGCAGCTTAATGTCGTCACCAGTATGATGCTCCACTGGATGACTTTCGCCATTGAAAGTTTCCGTGCATGTGTCTTTGCCTGAGGTAAAGAATGGAGAAAGCGGCTTTTCTTTGGAACTCTTCTCAACTTTCAGTGACTGAATATTTCCCGAAGCACATACTAAAGCATCAAAGAAAAGGGTTAGAAATACCAAGGCTCTGATCTAATCCTAAAACAATAGAACTATGTGAATTGGAGAGTTGGGGAGCACTCAAGGAGTTATGGCTTGTTATGTTTATCAAATACGGAAGCAATCTTCTACAACTGAATGAACCCGGAATTTTCGATAACTTCAGATGCAAGTGTGGGTTTGGAACCTTTTCAACATTAGCATAACTTGTCTTCAGACATTCATCCTTAATTTTAATATGCCCCTATAGAGTTGGTAAATTAGACACTGCATATAAACTACCACAGTCGGAAACACAGGAATGTTGATCGAAACTTACCATTTTGCTTTAGGACTTGGGTCTGGACTTCTATTCGAATCCTGGCCATTGTTTCTGCAAAATGTCTCGTTTGTCGACTTTTGAGTAACTTGATCTATGACCTGTGAAACATGATCCACTGTGTTGTCTCTGCTACAGTCGATCACACACTTAGAGGGCACGTCTGAATCAGGTGGTGCCGTCGACATACATTCTCCATTCAAGTCTTTTTGTACCAAGACTTCACCATCATTGTCACCACTCTGCCGTGAACTGCATTTTCTGTTTCCTCCCATTTCAAAGGATGTAGAATCCACGGAATTCAGGTGCTGACATTCAAATGAACAAAAAATGGTAGCTTTCAACATCAAGGAAGACTCATTTTCCTTTGAGGAGAAGGGCTCAACTGCTGCCGAAATCGATGAATTACCAAGAATCAGTGTTATGAATCTCCAAGAAGCAGCTAGTTGTCATGTCTGCCAATGTTTCCGGACCATTTGAAGCCAACGAATGCTTGTCTTCAAAACCATTGTCCGAATTTCGAATTGACCCGTTATTTGAGAACCTGTAAAGATCAAAATACAAGAATGTTTGTCATAGTTTTAACTACACATTCCATTGCATGAAAAGAGAACAAAAGCAAAGAGAAAACGAACAGGGGGTTTACCAGAACTGTCTTGTTCGATATCCATCAAATAAGGAAGCAATCTTCTGTAGCTGAATGAGCCAGGTGTTTTGAAAAGCCTCGCACTAGAGCATGGCTTAAGAACCTAATCCAAAACACATAAGCAAACAGCATTACTAAACAAAAACACCAAGAATTATTTAGGCATCAATAATCAAGTTGAATCGGATACAATCAAGATAAAGCTCGAACTTGACTCGAAATAGGCAACTTGAGATTTCATCATTGTTCAATGTCGATAGATAAAGTGATAAAAACTGGATTACATGAGTTCTCTAAACGAAGCTTGTACATATACTACTAGATTATAGTGTTAAGATAATCAAACTCGGTTAGCTCGATAACGCTAGTATAAAACAGCATTCAATTCAAAAAGGAAATTCCCTATTTTAAACTCTCGGATTGGATTTGGATACCAGATTTACGTTCATGGATAGCTTTTCAAGTCGCTCGAGGCTGATTTGTTGTTTGCCGGTGGTCTTTCAATAGCTTGATCCCCCTTTTCTGGTTCATTTACTGATGTGATCAGATATGTTTGTATCTATATTTGTCTTCCTAAAAAAAATTTAGGATAAATCACAAGTTTAGTATCTAAACTATCAGTTTTGGTTCGTTTTAGTACTTAAACTTTTAATATTTTGAAAATCATACCTAACATTTAGTTTTTGTTTCGTTTTAGTATCTCGTCGTAAAAAACGTAACGGGTGATTTGTATGTATCGCCTTCGTATGGGTAAATTGCATCACTCATGACTCAACTATCTCCTCACTCCTATTTTGGTCACTAAAATTTAAATTTTTTAAATTTAATTACTTAACTTTTAAATTACTCCTAACTCACTCACTTTAACTTTTAATTTTTTTTTCATTTTTAATTATATATTACTAAAATAATAATGAAAATGTCACGTCACAAAATTTATTAATTAAATAAATTAGAGTGATTAAAATAGGAGCAATTTGGAAGTTGAGTAGTTAAATAAAAAAATTTAAACTTTAATACCAAAATAGGGGTGAGAAGATAGTTGAGTGAATAATGTAAATTTCCCATAAAAAATGCAGTGTTGTTAAATTTTTAACGGCGATATTTTAAAATGAAACAAAAACTAAGCGTAAGGTATGATTTTGAAGAAATTGAAAGTTTAGGTATTAAAACGGACCAAAACTAATAGTTTATATACTAAACGTGTAATTTACCCAAAAATTTAAAACTTTTTTTCTTCTAGATTGACATCATTAATCTTTTATCCATAATCATTTGACGATCATTCGATCGTCGTCATCGTTATACATAACACTCATCATACTCGAGAATTTATTCTAAGTATCAAAGTTATTCAATAATCATGGATACACCAAAACGAATAATAGTTCTTTACTCATTTTGTATCACATCAAGTTTTAATCTTCACTCTGAATTATTGAAAAAAGTTTTCTTTCTCTTGTTGTACTTACTTTGTTTACTTTTAACATTTATTCTATTTGATTACTAATTAATCAAATTAAAAACAACTTGTCCCTAATTGTTCTTCCTATCATGTGTCAAAGATGAATAAGTAAGAAACTGAAAAGTGCTGGCAGGTTGCATTAGTCTTAACTAATTACAATTTAATAAAAGATTCATTTATCATATGTTATGTTTATACAATGCACTCAAATTTAAATTGGGTCAAGTACACAAATGGTTCTCCGATATAGGGTACTGCTTTGTTGAGTATTCCAACTATTAAAAGTTAAAAAACGATCCCCTAACCATAGGATACTACATTGTTAAGTTCCTCGACTATTATAAGTTATAAAATGGTCGACTAACTATTCATATGTTCCAAACTCGTCATTTCCTCTTCAAATATTTGGAGAGCGTCTAGCTGGACATAAACATGTTGGCTGAGATACGATAAAATCTGATCCCAAAACTGTTTAAGTTGTATTTAATGGATTGATGAATCATTTGTATACTCTACCCATTATATTTTAATTATGTGAACTCTCCATTTTCGGAAAGATTTAATCAGAGAAAGTGAAATTATACACCTTACTTTGGTGTGTTAGGAATTATTGCAGAATTTTATGATTTAAAAGAAATTCTTGAATATGATAAATGTGGTTTTTACGTATCATCGATTGTCAATTTAAAGAAAGATTTTAGATTTTTTTTCCTCGTTAATGTTTTAGGTAAACAAGGGTAAAATACATATTTGGTAGCTGAACTTTATTCTCTCTCCTATTTTTCTCATTGTACTTTAAATCTTTTCAATTTTCTTATTGCACTTAATACATTGGATCATTTTGGTCACTCGGCCGTTAAATAGTTAATGGCGTTAAAATGAGTTGTTATATACATGAAAAATGACGACGTTTTGGTTATATTTTTTTTAAATAGCATTTTAACGTCGTTAATTATTTAAAAGCGGAGTGACCAAAATAGGAGAGAGGGTAAAGTTCAGTGATAAAAAAACCCAATGAATTAAGTTCAGTGAAGAAATTAAAAACTTTTAATGTGAGTAAAATAGGAGAGAGATTAAAGTCTAGTGATGAAATTTGTAATTTATCCGGTAAACAAAGACGGAATTGTAAATAAAATAAAGTATACAAATGCTAAAACATGTATAATTCAAGAACTAAATGAGTTATATTATTATTTTTTTAAATAATAGGGCCTCATTAAAAACCCCTTCTAATCCTAATTAGGGGAAAAGAGTGCCTGAGTTACACTAGAAAGACATTAACATGTCATGTATTTAGGCGCCATTCTGGTATGGCTAGAAGATGATCGGCTCTAGGACAAATGATGCCGAACTCCTCCGTCATGTCCAACTCAGTTGGCTGCATATTGTTTGGAAGTTTCCAATCGAAGCAATGAACCAATTGTGCCACCACAAGCCGAACGATGGTGAGACCCAACTGCATTCCAGGGCAGATTCTACGACCGGAACCAAATGGTATCAGCTCGAAGTTTTGTCCTCGAACATCGATGTTGCTTCCGACGAATCTTTCCGGACGAAACTTGTCCGCATCGGTCCAAAGCCTTTGGTCCCGACTTATGGCCCATGCGTTTATAAAGATGCGAGCGTCTTTCGGTATGTGAAAGCCGTTCACCGTGAAATCTTCCCTAGCTGCATGGACCATCAATGGCGCTACTGGATGAAGCCTTAAGCTTTCTTTTATAACCATGTACAAGTACTCCAATTTCTCCAGATCCGATTCTTCGACCTCCCGATTCGTGCCTACGACATCTTCGAGTTCTCGTTGGAGTTTCTTTGTCACATGTGGATGTCTGATGAGTTCCGTCATTGTCCAATCCATCGTAGCCGCCGATGTATCCATTGAAGCTACAAACATGTCCTGCAAGAATCGCGATAAACATGGCAAAATTTTCGATCGAAAGACGTTAAAGACGAGTTCGACAAGGGACATATATCGAGACATGAAAGAGTACCAAGATGATTGCTTTGATAGTGTCTCGTTCCACTCGGTACTCGGTTTCTTCGGATCCCATGAATCCCAACATGACATCTATGAAGTCCTTGGTTCTGTCTTCATCTTTAGATTGAACATGTTCTTCAAGTACCTTCTCAATGAAGTGGTCAAAATCCTTGGAAATAGCTTTCATGCGCTTTGTTTTCCCTTGAAGATCGAGTCCCCTAATTTGAGGGATGTAATCCGCCAAATTAAACGCAGATGCCATCTGCATAGTCTCTCGGACGGTAGCTTCGAACCCTCTTTCGCTGAAGCCGTCGCGATTAAATTTCTTTCCGATGACCATTCTACAGGAGACATCGGCACTGAAAGTGTTGACTTCAGAAGTGAGATCAACAGCAACACCAGCAGCAGCAGCCTCTCGAATCCGATGAACCAAGAGATCGGCTTCTTGTTTCCTCATGGACCTGAAAGAACTAATCTTTTGGTTACTGAGTAACTCCAAGGTGCACATCTTGCGGATGTTGCGCCAGTACGAACCGTATGGGGCTAATATCAAGTTCTGTTGATTGTAACTAATATACTTGGACGCTTCTAGAGGCGGCCTGCTAGCGAAAACAGCGTCATGTGTCTTGAGGAACAGCTCGGCAGTTTCCGGGGACGAGACGACGATTACCGGCATCAAGCCGAGGCGTAAGTGCATGATGGGGCCATACCGGAGGGCTAATCGTTGAAGAGTTTGGTATGGTTTGGTCCCCATCATCAAAAGGCTTCCCAGAATCGGAAGCCCTCTCGGACCAGGTGGTAACCTCTTATTTTTAGACCTAATTTTGGCTTGAAAGAAGAAGAAGAAGATAAGTGCAGCAATTGCAAGAATTGTTCTTGTCCATTCCATTGTGGGAATGAGGAGCTTGGAGAAGCAACGAAAACAAACAAATATATGTGGAGTGAAGTGATAAGGGGGTCGATATATAATGTCAAAATGGTCCAACTGCTCTTCATTTTCCTTTCAATTGTAGACCCTAGCTGTACAGGGTACACAATATCTAATATTGTTTTTAAAAATAAAATTTAAAAGAGTAGAAGATGAGTACGTACCCACAAGAGTGTTAGTAGAACGCATGAAACTTACACTATAACTTAAAGGAGATCTGTAGTTTAATACTTAATTCATAAGAAAAACTCTCTGCACGAATCATACGTTAAATATCATTTTTGTATTATTTTTAAAAACCTCGTATTAGTTTCATAGTTTAGTCTTTCAGTTTATTTTGTTTTCAAGTTGGTTTGTTTGGTTAGTGAGAAAGTTGAAGAGTTGATGAGAAAATAAGGGAACAGGTGAGAAAATAAGTGAAATCTTGAATTTGTTTTATTTTTAAGTCCATTCATGTTGGTTGGCTGGTTTGTTTGGTTAGTGAGAAAGTTGAAGAGTTTATGAGAAAATAAGGGAACGGGTAAGAAAATAAGTTAAATCTGGTATTGATCGGGCCGGGTCGGGTTAAATCGAGTTTTTAGTTCAAATTTCAGGTCGGTGTCAGGTCGGATGGAACACTTCAAAATCGGGTTCGGCTCGGGTGACGGGTGGAGAGTAGAATTTTTCGGGTCGAGGTCGGATAGGTCAAAAATCCAATCCGACCAGACCCGACTCATGCCCATGCATAAAATATATAGTGTACATATATCAATATTTTAATAATAATGGATCGATAATATTGGTTAACGTCTAGTGCACATAATTATTTGTCCAATTATTAAAACGTTTAATTGTAGTAAAAATATTTTGAGTAAACTATCGGAAAGATTTTTTTCTTTTTGGTCTTTGTTGATTGACGGTGACACCAATTTTAATATTACTTGTCGGTCGTCGATAGTTTTTATCTCATTTTTCTTTTCTTATATCATACCTCTATTTTCTTTTTTTTATTATTATTTTCAATTGGTTTGCATGTATGACACATTGCATCTGTTTTTATGGCACCTTTTTTAGGCATGTTTCTTCGGTCGTTTGGTCTTTTTTCATTTATCTTTTTTTAAGGGTTCATTTAACATCGTCGCAAATGATTAAGATGACGCTTATATGATATATTGTTGATCTTCCCTAATTTAGACCCTTAGATTGGATTTGGATACCCGATTTTCGTTCATAGATAGCTTTTCAAGTCGCTCGAGTCTGATTTGTAGCTTGTCAGTGGTCTTTCAATAGTTTGATCCCCTTTTCTGGTTCGTTTGATGATGTGATCAGATATGTTTGTATCTATCTTTGTTCGGGTTTCTTGATTAGATTTTTAATCTTTCCTATGTGATCTTAAATTGCTAGTATTGTTTCAATGATTATAAGAAACTATCCTAATTATGTGCTTAGTTTACAATTGTGATTATAAATCTTCATTGTAATTTGAAATATTTCTTATTTTGAATAAAATTAGTTGCTTCTATAAAAAAATATCATCAGTAGTTATTAAAAACCGGTGAAATATTATGTTCAAGTCATCTTCCTAAACAAATTTAGGTTAAATCACAAGTTTAGTATCTAAACTATCAGTTTTGGTTCGTTTTAGTACTTAAACTTTCAATATTTTGAAAATCATACCTAACTTTTAGTTTTTGTTTCGTTTTAAAATCTCGCCGTTAAAAACGTAACGGGTGATTTGTATGCATCACTTTTATATGGGTAAATTGCATCACTCATGACTCAACTATCTCCTCACTCCTATTTTGGTCACTAAAATTTAATTTTTTTAATTTAATTACCTAACTTTTAAATTACTCCTAACTCACTCACTTTAACTTTCAATTTTTAATTATATATTACTAAAATAATAATGAAAATGTCATGTCACAAAATTTATTAATAAAATAAATTAGAGTGATTAAAATAGGAGCAATTTGGAAGTTGAGTATATAATTTAAAAATTTTAAACTTTAATACCAAAATAGGAGTGAGAAGATAGTTGAGTGAATAATGTAAATTTCCTACAAAAAAATGCAGTGTCGTTAAATTTTTAACGGTGAGATTTTAAAATGAAACAAAAACTAAGCGTAAGGTATGGTTTTGAATAAATTGAAAGTTTAGGTATTAAAATAGACCAAAACTAACAGTTTAGATACTAAACGCGTAATTTACCCAAAATTTTAAAACATTTTTTCTAGATTGACTTCGTTAATCTTTTTTCCATAATCATTTGACGATCGTCGTCATCGTTATACATAACACTCATCATACTCGAGAATTTATTCTAAATATCAAAGTTATTCAATAATCATTGATACACCAAAACGAATAATAGTTCTTTACTCATTTTGCATGACATCAAGTTTTAATCTTCACTCTGAATTATTGAAAAAGTTTTCTTTCTATTGTTGTACTTACTTTGTTTACTTTTAACATTTATTCTATTTGATTACTAATTAATGAAATTAAAAACAACTTGTCGCTAATTGTTCTTCCTATCATGTGTCAAAGATGAATATGTAAGAAACTGAAAAGTGCTGGCAGGTTACATTAGTCTTAACTAATTACAATTTAATAAAAGATTCATTTATCATATGTTATGTTTATACAATGTACTCAAATTTAAATTGGGTCAAGTACACAAATGGTTCTCCGATATAGGGTACTGCTTTGTTGAGTATCTCAACTATTAAAAGTTAAAAATTGATCCCCTAACCATAGGACACTACATTGTTAAGTTCTTCGACTATTATAAGTTATAAAATGATCGACTAACTATTATATGTTCCGAACTCGTCCTTTCCTCTTAAAAAATTTGGAGAGCGTCTAGCTGGGCATAAACCTGTTGGCTGGGATACGATAAAATATGATCCCAAAACTGTTTAAGTTGTATTTAATGGATCGTCTCTGTGTTTTAATTATGTCTTTGAGCTAATGCTTGAAACATTATGTCATCGAGCAATTCTTGAAAGCAACGACGATGCCAATAGAGATCATTAGAATTTTACAATACCTCAATCAATAGGTTAATGTCTAGAATAGACGACTGTCAATTTTTAAACATAAAAGAATGAGTTTGAAACATATGAATGGTTGGGTGACCATTTTATAACTTTTAATTGTCAAGGGGTTCAACAAAATAACATCATATAGTCAACAGACCATTTTAAAACTTTTAATAGTAGGAGATTCAACAAAACAACACCCTATGATCGAGGAATCATTTGTATACTCTACCCATTATTTTTTAATTATGTGAACTCTCCATTTTCGGAAAAATTTAATCAGAGAAAGTGAAATTATACACCTTACTTTGGTGTGTTAGGAATTATTGTAGAATTTTATGATTTAAAAGAAATTCTTGAATATGATAAATGTGGTTTTTACGTATCATCGATTGTCAATTTAAAGAAAGACAATAGAATTTTTTTCCTCGTTAATGTTGTAAGTAAACAAGGGTAAAATACAAATTTGGTAGCTGAACTTTATTTTCTCTCCTATTTCACTCATTTTATTTTAAATCATTTCAATTTTCTCACTGCACGTAATACAGTGGATCTTTTTGATCACTCGGCCGTTAAATAGTTAACGGCGTTAAAATGAGTTGTTATATACATGCAAAATGACGTCGTTTTGGTTATATTTTTTAAAATAGTATTTTAACGTCGTTAACTATTTAACAGTGGAGTGATAAAAATAGGAGAGAGAGTAAAGTTTAATAATATAAAAAACCCCAATGAATTAAGTTCAGTGAGGAAATTAAAAACTTTTAATGTTAGTAAAATAGGAAAGAGAGTAGAGTCTAGTGATGAAATTTGTAATTTATCCAGTAAACAGAGACGGAATTATAAATTAAATAAAGTATACAAATGCTAAAACATGTGTAATTCAAGAACTAAATAAGTTATATTATATATTTTTTTGAAAATAACACCGGCCTCGTTAAAAACCCCTTCTAACACTAATAAGGGGAAAAGAGTGCCTGATTTATATTAGAAAGACAGTAACATGTCATGTATTTAGGCGCCATGCTGGTATGGCTAGAAGATGGTCGGCTCTAGGACAAATGATGCCGAACTCCTCCGTCATGTCCAACTCAGTTGGCTGCATATTGTTTGGAAGTTTCCAATCGAAGCAATGAACCAATTGTGCCACCACAAGCCGAACGATGGTGAGACCCAACTGCATTCCAGGGCAGATTCTACGACCTGAACCAAATGGTATCAGCTCGAAGTTTTGTCCTCGAACATCGATGTTGCTTCCGACGAATCTTTCCGGACGAAACTTGTCCGCATCGGTCCAAAGCCTTTGGTCCCGACTTATGGCCCATGCGTTTATAAAGATGCGAGCGTCTTTCGGTATGTGAAAGCCGTTCACCGTGAAATCTTCCCTAGCTGCATGGACCATCAATGGCGCTACTGGATGAAGCCTTAAGCTTTCTTTTATAACCATGTACAAGTACTCCAATTTCTCCAGATCCGATTCTTCGACCTCCCGATTCGTGCCTACGACATCTTCGAGTTCTCGTTGGAGTTTCTTTGTCACATGTGGATGTCTGATGAGTTCCGTCATTGTCCAATCCATCGTAGCCGCCGATGTATCCATTGAAGCTACAAACATGTCCTGCAAGAATCGCGATAAACATGGCAAAATTTTCGATCGAAAGACGTTAAAGACGAGTTCGACAAGGGACATATATCGAGACATGAAAGAGTACCAAGATGATTGCTTTGATAGTGTCTCGTTCCACTCGGTACTCGGTTTCTTCGGATCCCATGAATCCCAACATGACATCTATGAAGTCCTTGGTTCTGTCTTCATCTTTAGATTGAACATGTTCTTCAAGTACCTTCTCAATGAAGTGGTCAAAATCCTTGGAAATAGCTTTCATGCGCTTTGTTTTCCCTTGAAGATCGAGTCCCCTAATTTGAGGGATGTAATCCGCCAAATTAAACGCAGATGCCATCTGCATAGTCTCTCGGACGGTAGCTTCGAACCCTCTTTC